ACTGGTCCCTGCACCAGGGGTTGGACCCCTACCTTAGACAGACTGAAGCTGACAATCCCTTTGCATGTTTCTTCAAATTAATATTAGACTAAATATGTAGATGTTCTTCAAGTTCTTCAAGTATATACAAATTAAAAATGACAATGACAGTATGATCAGTTGTTGGATGGTGGAATTACTGGATATACTGTGTGCAACGTTTTGCCCAGGTTTTACATTCAACAACAATTGGATTCAACTTTAGAAAATTCACTAACGTGATTACATTTTTATCTTAATATACATATATAGCCATTGTTTTTCAATATGAGGCTTTGACAGAATGTTATTTCTTTATGATTATTATTATAAAATAATATATATATATATACATACATATATAAATATATATGTATATATGTGTGTGATCCTGTAACTAAAATGAAATTGGAATTTCTAGACTGAATTTAATTGATAACAACTGAATTACACTGGCAGGTCCGGTTTTTAATACAGAAAAAAAAAGAGACGGATGGGCAGCTGGGACAAAGTAGCCTCACACTATTCCAACGGCGGAGGATACATCACACATGACAGCAACCAGATATACAATATAAGCAGCTTTTGTTCCGTCTGAGGCAATCAATTTAGCGAGAATTACCGAGCTGAGTGATAATGATGAGAGTCTATTAAAGTAAAATAGCACAGCAATCAAAATGATTTAGAGACTTTGGGTGTGGCGTAACACCCTCCCATATCAACACACACACACACACACACACGCACGCACGTACGGATACTCTTTTCCGGACGCTGAACTATCTTACTCTCAATTACTCACTATGAATTGCTTAAGCATATAAAACAGATTCTAACCTGCAAAAATATGCACGCCTGAACACACGCGCTGCACTCGACGAAACGGTACGGATGAGAAAAAAAAAAACCCTGCGGTTAAGTGATGTTCATGCTGTATTTGTGATCATGAGTGTGAGGAATTCACTCGGGGGAAAGGAAATGAAGTGAAAATTTGCCCCAAAGACAGGGAACAAAGCAGCTGCTCAGGCGTACGACAAGCTCTGGAAATTAATTGCTGCACATCAGGCGATGTACAACCTGATATAGCTCCAGTTTTTAATTGTGAAATCGCTCTATATTGTCCTATATAACTATATCGATCCGGTTATTCGAGGAGACTGTTATAAACTGAAAGGCTATTTTTTTTAAATCACCTTAAAATAAATTAAAATTAATATTTATAAAAATGTAGTACAGCGGAACCTCGAAATACAAGCGCCTCGACATACGAGTATCCCGAGATACGAGCAAGCCTTGGACCAAATTTTTGATTTGAGATACGAGTAAAGATTTGAGATACGAGCGCGCTTAGAGATGCCAACGCTAGGTGGCCGAGCACTCGTTCACGTCACGTTTTTGTCGACTACCGTACGCATCTCCTGCGAGTCTTCCGTATCGTGTTTGCGTTATCAACATGATTTTCTCCCTATTTTGTGCATTATTCTTCATAATAGTGATGAGTCCTAAGAGAGTGAGTGGTAAGGATGGTAGTGAGAAGAAGAAACGCACGATGACCATGGAAATAAAGGATGAAAATGTCGATAAATATGAGCGTGGTGCCCGCTAAAGAAAAAAAGCAAAAAAATAGAAAAGTAAAAAGTAAGCTAAGTTAAGTTAATTCTACATTTATACAAGTTACGTAGTGTATGTTTAAGGTACTCTACGGAATCAAGTGTCTACGTACGGGCCGACTCTCTTCCCTCCCTCCCTCCTCCTCCTCACGTGCCGCCATTAGCCGCTACTGTATCGTCTGTCTCGAAGGTAAAAACACAAAATTAAAACCACATTTTGTTTTATATCACAGGAATCCTTATATACTATATATTTTTTGTGTGTGTATGTCTCTATAGCAATTAAACACGTTTGTGTCCATTGTTATTAGCACTAATAAGGGAAGGTCAGAACCGATTAATAAATAAATAAATTTCATGTTATTTCTTATGGGGAAAAAAATGATTCGAGATACGAGCTCGGTCCTGGAACGGATTATGCTCGTATTGTATCTCGAGGTTCCACTGTATTGCAAATATGTGGCATATTATTTTAAGCCTAACTACCTAGCATGACTAGTAACATGTAGGGTAATAATCGAATCCCCTTATGAGAATTAAAAACAAAAACTTACGTAAATAAATAAATAAAAAATTCCCCTTATGAGAATTAAAAACAAAAACGTACGTAAATAAATAAAAAAAACGCATAAATATAGCAGCTAATTTTAAAAGTTTGTTTTCGTCCCCCAAAACAAATTTTAATTGGACTTTTGTGAGCACTACAGTGACGATATATTCCCTGAATTATCTGTGAATTGCTCTCACCTTCCCTCCCCTCTTTCCTTTCCTGGGCCATGATTCTGAAATCGTTTATTTTCTCTACGGGTTTTGTGTGAGGACCAAGTGGTTTACGGTGTTCTTTGCTCCCTAACAAGGAGGGCTGACATTCATTAAACATTAATTCTGCCTTATGGGACCCACCTAAGACTCTCGGAGCAAACGGAAAAACCAAAAAACTAACAGTATGCTAGTCATCACACGCCACTATAGGCCCCTTGATGTAAATATGGACACAGAGCCTTAGAAAGCCCAATTAAACACAAACGCATGTCGGTATCTGCCGGACGGAGAGATGCAAAGGCTGACAGTCTGCACTTCATATATTTCGTTTTTATATAAGCTCAGTGAAGCGAAACATCGTGCTTACCAACTGGTAGTTTGCCTGTCAGTCATATTTACTGCGGTGAATAAAGCCCGACACCGGTCCATGCTGTCGCTCTGTCAGTCAAATACCTCAAAATAGGACTTCACATCACTGTCCAGGAGGAGCTGGGCAGGAATTTCTTCTTTTTTTTTTTTTGTATGAATTACTTTTTCCAAACCCAATACTGTTTTTGTATTGTATAGCTGGCAGTTTTGGAAAAAAGCCCCGCTCACATCTGCTAACCATAAAGGTCACTGTCTGTTGTGTTTTGAAGATAAAAACAAAACAATACCATATACACTTATAAATATACAGTACATTTAGGAGCCTTCAAAACTCAAAGGAGTCCATTCTTTGTGTTGAAGAAGTTCATAAATAGGCCAAGTGGCTTGGTTTAATAATAATAATAATAATAATAATAATTATTATTATTATTATTATTATAAAAAGAACAACAACACAACAATGATAATAGTCCCTTGTCCCACAATGAAGTATTTGCACTGACACAGGCTGCCACAGGAGGCGCCATTAATCATATGTGGTTCCTCTGGGAATAGCTGTTCACTTCGCAGGAGTTACGTATAACTTCATTAATCCACCTCTCTGACAGAGATTTAAAACATGTTACATTTCTCTCTATGTCTGCTCATGTAAGTGCTACAGCCCTACTCCAGATGTTTTCATTGGTTGAAACGCATGATGACGCCTTCCCGAGTCAATAATGTTAACTACGTAAACCCTTCTGTGACCCGATTCTTGTTCTCGCGTAGCCTGCAGAGAAAGGACGTACAAATATAATAATAAACAACCTGGGCTAATGCCCCAAAAACCTGACTGTCAGCGTTAAATGATTCACGTCAACTCCTTACACGTGTTTATTGATATGTCCTGTCAATGTGAATTGAGTTATCACTGCAGTCAAACTCACAGCATCGAGTGGAGTGACTCAATCCCTTAATTGTGCATTGAATTTGTTTTTCTCTTTCTTTTCCACACAAATCCAGCCAAAAGCCTTACAGGCTAATTTTCGCTAAATACGCAAACATGCTACAAGTGCACAATACCTCCAAGGCTATTATGGACTATATACTTGACCGTCATTTGGATTGTTGCAATATCAACAAAGAGATATATTTGCGTCGGGTCAACATGCCACTCCTCCTTTGACCCTGATTTTTCTGTATGAATATTCAGAACCAGTGAGAACAAATCTTTTAGAATATTACTAATTATGGATGCATTTTCCCGACTATTATCACTCAAACTACACGGCCGAAACAGGAAGTTATTATATATGATATATGATAAAGATCATTACTTGGATGCGGGAATAAAGCAGCGCACACGAGGAATGATGCAGGCTGCGATGGACGCGGAGAACCTGCTTGGAAACGGAGTAACGGAGTAGCTCTAACAAGTTAACGTATATGGTTATGTGGTTTAATATACACACATACATACACATATATATATACATACTGTATATATGTGTGTATATATATATATATAAAGATATATATACATACTGTATATGTGTATATATATGTATATATATATATATCTATATATATATACCTTGTTATACCTTATTTTCAATTAAACAGGGTGCAGTAAAGGAAACACCTCCATGTACAGTATAACACTGTGCTACAAGGCTGTTAATGAATTATGTTTAACAGCAAATGCAGTAAAAATTGCTGGCAGTTGCACAGCAGCCAGTTTGTTAGCCATGAATATTTTCTCCTCCTTGGATTGATGGCTCCTCCACACCTAAGCTGCAGCACAACACAGAACCGACTGGAGGGGGGGGGGGGGAGAAATGCCTAATGCAAAGCCAGCGTTCTCAACACAGATGTTTTGGTTCAGATTAATTTGTTGGGCTTTTTAATTAGCAGCCATTCGGGAGTGGGGTCATTAAGGAAGTCTGAAGGAGTACCTGCTGATGAATCCTTCCCTTATATCACCCGAACGCTCACACAGCTAGACACATGTCCACACACAGCACCTAGCCAGGTGCAGATTCGCTTAAACCCTTACTGGAAAAAAAAACATTTTAAAATCTCCATCAGCAAACACAGCAGGTCAATTCCACGGATTCACTGAGACGTGATTACCCAAAAAGCCTCGGAACAAATCTTCCGGAAATGTTACCATCAGCAGTGATCACACACAATGGGTTTCCAAAAAGCACAATTACATTCTGCTGTATGTTTATAGAGAAACCAACACAATGGAAAATGTACCGTTTTCAAGGTGTTCTGTCTCTCCGATGCTGCCGTCCGGAGTGGTCCTCTCGTAGTGGTCTTCGGGCAGGGTCAAAGGTCCGATGCGAGGACCGGACGACGACTTACTGCTGGGGGTCTCGGATTCCTCCAAGCCACTGTCGTAGTAACTGTGCTGAGAGGCATCCTGCAAGTCCTGGACGGGGTTGGTGGTGGAGAAGGTCACTCGCCGATGGGGATGCTGGAAAACAAAAGTGGACGACAAACGTTTAGCTGCAAAGTTGGAGTAAACAACTCCTGACGTCTTTGTTTTATGTTATTTCCCCTTTTTCTGAATACTATCATCACTACATATCACATTTGGCATACTGTTTTCTTTACTCAAAATTAATCTGTCAAAGTGGGTTTTTTTTTTTTTAATACTGAACTCATTATTTATAGTATAAAATGTGGAGATGATTATTTTTTGATATGGCTTATCACGTCCATGAAGGAAATGACACACATTATATCTTGACAACACCAGCAGCAATATTTTCATTTTCATTTTCTCATTCGTCCTCTGAATTGGTTTATTTGAGGAGATGTGAAAAGCTCTCAGTAATGGGACCAAAAAAAAAAAAAAAAAACACGTTACAGACATGTTAGCAAGCAACGATTAAACACGTTTTTAATTCTAATAAATAATGAAGAAATAAAAAAGTACCAAGGACCGGTCGGCCGGTATCAGGCGTTACTGCGGGCCGGTAATACCGTACCATCGTTGAAGGATCATGAGTCTGAATGACATATTGTTTTGAAACATTGACATGTTATCTTTAAATGAAAACAGTAAAGGGATAGGACCAAATTCTTTTTGAATTAAGTAAATTAAGTAAATAAGTAAAGCTGGAGTACATTTTTTCCACTGTGTACCACTGGGGCCTGGTACTAAATGATCTATGTTGTACCACTGGGGCCTGGTACTAAATGACCTATGTACCAGCACCAGTCCCCGAACCGGGGGTTGGGGAACCCTGTTTTACACTGCTGCTATTCTTAACTTTAGTCGAACAAAATTTAATTTCTCAATCTGCTGGTGCCAAATTAAAGCCAGATACAATCATTAATACTAAACATTGAGCCTTTTCCATTTCATAATTTCAGAAATGTATCATTCCACAGCCTTAAATTTCTAAAAATTAAAAAAAAAATAAAAAATTCTACACATAAGAAGACCTTAATAATGGTACAAAAAAGTATATATACATAGTTAAACTGTGCCAAGAAGAAAAAATGTCATTCATCAGACTATGTTAGTTTGTATTTCTAAGACCAAATCAATACAATAATTACTAGAAATATTAATGAAATCTCGTTTTTTTTTTCCTGGCGTGAAGATCACGCGTGAGATCACATCCTTATCAAATTAAATGGCTTGTCAATACCGTAAGAACACCATTAAATTTTTCCCTTCAAAATATCGGCTTACTAATGTCCACTTACCAACGATCCACAACAGAAAGACGACTCTTTGCAGTGCTCAGCTGCACTCTCCTGTCCCGACGCCCACACATGAGCATCTCTTGTGAAAGTTAGGTAAGCACTGATGCAGCAGAACGGGCCCGGTTCTGCTGCATGAGCCAACCCTGATCAATGCAGTCTGTGCTTTCTCACACTCGACCACTTTTCTGCCAAACAAATCAACCGCTTGCCAAAAATCATCACACTGAAGCCGTCAGCCTTTCAGAACATTCACGTACGACGCAAAGAGCAGGTTGTCTCAACCTGCCTGGATAATCTACAGATGAATGTAGAATCTAAGGATGTAAGTGCTGTCAAGCTACCAGGTGCACTCCTAAAATCAGTAGTAGGCATCGATAAAATTCTCAGAAGCCTCTTATCTAGCGATTTGCTCGGTAGTTTTCTCACTGCACTGATGCGTTATGTTGATTTGACTGCAGTTGGCTAAACAAATATACAACACGTGGATATAGGAAAGATGCACATTACTTGAAAGTAGGGACGTTAGATATCAACTTTTAGCCAATATCTGATAGGCCAATATTGTCCAAACACTTTATTTCCCATTCCGATATCAACCAATACTGATATATGGAGCTGTTTCCCCCCCAAAACTGCGTTAAATATCTAAAAAAAAAAGTGATTCAAGGCATTGCGTTATTGGGTCTTCATTATAGCGACAAAAACAGATTACATAATGATGCTAATATCGAGGCAATAATGTTGGTCGGCCGATATTATTATTATCCCTAGTTGAAAGTACTTGAACAAGAGAATATGTCTGACAGATACTCAATGAGGAACTGCAGGAAATGAGTGAACAGGAAGTGGGGCCAGAGAGTGAAATGAGACCTGGTCATGAAGACATAGCTGTCAAGCATGTCTTTACAAAGAAGCAAAAGGATTTTTGAAACAAGCTGTTCGACAAAATTCTGCAGAGTGACGGGATGAGTGATGAATGGGGATTTTACAAGGTTGATGTGTGGGGTAAAATATATCATTTTGTCTCAAAGCTACAGCAAGAGGCTCGGTTCGCGACAGTTTGATTGAAGGAACTACAGAAGAAAAGTAAGATCTTCCTTATGAATTCTGGTGATGATTTTCAAAACAATTCAGAGGGAGCTGCAGTGTGTGTCAGCGGATCCTGCAAAAAGCATACGATAATGGTGATGTCGTGTAAGGAAGTGTTTTGCGGCAGAGAAGTATGTGAGCACGGTGCAGGGCACATAAGAAGCGCGGCATTAGTAGGTGGGTAGTTGAAGCAATGAGTAGGTCAATTTAGGTCAGCAATTACTAGGGATGAACAGATTGGTCCGATATTGGTCAGAATTTCACGATCGAACATCGTACGGTCCGATACTGGAGCCCAAATGCTCAACCTAACCTTTGTACAACATGCCATAAACAGGGACATCACCTGAAAAAAATGTAGAGTTAATATTTTAATTTATTTATTAGCAGTATCCTCAAAACTTTGGCACGTTTCAGTGTCATGTCTACAACATGGTAAAACTCCTTAGTGTAAAATTCCATAACAAATACCATTAAATCAAGAGTTGTACCATTTTACCGTTATCTATATAAGTTAGCAGTACTGCATCAGAGAAGAAATAACGCTAGCAGGTTTGTTAGCCAGTTTATTACACTAGCCTGTTGTGTACAGAATTAAGTTAAAAAACATAGAAAGTCATTGATGTAACACATTTTGGCGTTCCATTTTAATATCCAAGGTAAGCTCGAGTGTAGTAATTAAAGACACTTCCCTCCTCATCCACTCATTAAATACTCATCTAGACCTGATTGTCATATTTAATGTGCTTCTCAGTTACTTAATAGGGACACCTGAAACAAGTTAATTAGCTAGTACTGACTGAAAAGTACAGAGAACTGAATATGTGTTCATGAATGATCTGACGGTGTACTATATACCCTAATGAGAAACAGTAGTCATAGACAACGGAAAAGTGGGAATTAAGAAGATGTGACACGTGGGACAATCGTCTCCTCAGTTTAAAATTAAAATTTGTTGAAGAAAAAAAAAAAAAAATTCTACTGAAAAACAGACTTGAGGCTGTTTTCCTAAGCCAAAAATTCTACTGAAAAACAGACTTGAGGCTGCTGTCTTAAACCAAACCTTTAGAAGCCAAACACATTTTCACCAAGGTTAACCTCTCCCTCCTAGGGAGTTACTGTATCTCCGCATCTCCACAGACTTGAGTCCTAGGGTTGTACGTGATTTATCTATAGACAAGTCAAACACTCAAGTCATGCGTGAGCATGGGCGTAATTTTATTCTGATTACAGGCGGTCTACCATTACTACTAATGACACAGTTATGTCCTTAGCAATTAAATGCAGCTAAAAAGTTTCACATGGTCACGTGTAAATGGGAACGTATGTTAATGTGGTTTTATAAAGTGGGAAGTGCTATTTCCTAATGCATTAATGACTTGGGTAGATGCATGAACTGCAGTTCACTTCAGAATTAGCATAAACCCGCTGCTATGAATTGTAGTTACAGGAAAAAGCTAATTTACAATATGAAAATTCATGAGATTATAATTTAAAAAAAATATATAAAATAAAGCTTTGGTTAAGACACTAGGTTTGTCTGATTTCCATTTAGGAAAAAAAAATCATTTACAATCTGAAAAGTCATTAAATTTTAATTTAACTTTTTTTTTTCTAAAGCTTTGGTAAATTGAAACTACACTAGGTTTGTCTGTTTTATGTAAAAAAAATAATTAGGCGAGTGCTGCTAGTTCATGAACAATTACAAAAAAAAAAACATGTATATTAATATAATAAGTATGTTCAATGAGTTTGAGTTTGTATATATATACATATATATATATACACAGTACATATATATGGCCTAATTAGATGTCAACATTACCTATAAATAACAATAACTCCATGTTTTTCTCCTTTGTTTTTATGCAAAGAAGTACAATTACGTTAGATAATTCTTCATATTTAATGAAATACACATATTCTAATCAGATCGTGAAAATTTAAAATCCATCCAGCAGACCTGATTGAACCCCCTAGCGGACCTGTTTTGGGCCGCAGGGCCGTACGTTTGACAACCCTGCTTTAGCCTGAACGTTTTAATAGCAGCTCCCAGGTCAAAAAAGTGTGGACACGGCCGATGCAGTCTTTTGATGCAGTTAGTTTTGAGGACGATGTGTCGGAGAACAGTCCTTGGTTAATTAACAGGCTACTTTTGTAGTGTAAAAACGTTCAAAAGAGGTGGACTTCCTCGCCCTCTAATCCTTTAATTGAGTTCTTCAAGTCGGGGAAGAAATATAGGGCCAAACATTAGCTGCAATGAGGTGGACTGATGACGGAGCCAAGACCTTTAGTGATCGGAAATGACTTGTAAGTTGTCGTATTAAATTCATAGATAAAATGTTTAACTAAAAACAGCTGGTAGCATGTTAAAATTCTATGTAAATAGTCAGTGACTCCTATTAGCATAGGAAATATAATTACCCCGGTTATGAAGAGAGAAGAATCACTACAATTATGTAATGTTTGTAAAGCTCTATGTAACTCTGAATTATTATTAGAACTAATTATTTACATGTCAGAGTAAATATTTATATTTTTAGTTTCTGATATCTCTGTTGCTTTTTAAGTAAAAAAAACAGTGCTAAATTTTAATTAATTTTTTAAAAATATCACCATAAAATGGCTGCAATATAAAAGGCTGGAAGTCAGTCCTGCACTCAGCCA